TGGTTGCCAAGCAGCATGCAGGCACAGTGGAAAGTGCCACCTGCTTTACAAATCTGTGGCAACATGAAGCCAAAGAAGTTTACCCTCATGTGCTCTAGCAAACTTAAAGTTACATCGTTACCTTACCATAGAAAGTCTGCTTGAGTTTGTCCACTTCGGATGAAGATAAAAGGCAGGTGGAATGGGCGGTGGCACCGTCAGGTATTTCTCCAGCGAAGTGCCCGTAGGCTCCGTAGTCTCTCTTTGTTTCTTTCGCTAGCATTTTTGTTTTGTGGTGCATTCACTGAATGACAGTGTTGCGTATTTCTGACCATTCTCAATAGTTGCCATCTGTAGCTCTGCATCTAATACGCAGCTGCACATCGGACCAGACTTTGTTGACAAGACCCTCAGGTGCGTTTGGATTCAGAGAGTGCTTGATCTTCTGAAAGTCTTCCTCCGTTAATGCCTAATGGTGGGGTGTTCTGTCAGATCTTTCTCTGCAAAGTTCTTCTCTACTCCCAACGGCAAAAGGATGACATTGTCTATTTAGCGGTCCCAGCTTTGTTTCTTGACTTTTCCAGCTCATCAATTTCTTTCTCATTAATTTCAGCATGCCTCCTTTCTTTTTAATCTTCCTCCTCTATCCTGTCCATCTCTTTCAACCACTTATCCACACTTAGCCCTCCCGGCAAATCCAAATTCACAACAAAATCTGACACTTTGACACAACGGTTAATTGGCGCAGTAATACTGTTGTCATGCAGTCACAGCTGCGTGTTTATAGAGTATTTTACAATGGCTTCGATTGCGGCCCAACCAATCATAATCAAGGACCACAGCTATCCGTTTTATGATAGGATTTTTAGTCTGTCTCCCATAAGCTATGAGTCCCCTAACCAAAGTTTCTCCTGCCGATACAGCATATCACATTGCAGCCTGAAAACAGGCGGAACAAGTACAGGAGGACACACAAGAGCCTCTCAACAGGTTGCAATGTGAGCCTATCCATAACTATAAAATGCATTACTGTAACCAGTGTGTTATATTGTTCACATTTGTTCTGAGTTATCCTCTTAGACCTAACTGTCCATCTATGAAAACTGAGCCGTCCAGCTATTGCCGGTGGCTTTCATTTTTGCGGTGAGCATAAGTGATATGTTCTAGCTGCTTCCACTAAAGGGCCCACTCCAGTTTCATGAAGCCTTGCCTTATGGTTGTACATGACTCATTTCACTGGAGCACTCAATTCACTCACTCAGGCCCACAATGAGAGGGGGCATATTCACTTTTAGTAAAAATGGAATACACGACAGATGTAATGAGTTACAATATCAAAAGTACCCGCTGGTGTCAGGCTCTGTCTCGTCTCCTCTGCCTCTCTCCCTCGCAGACAACAGTAATCACTGCTCTGGTAGGAATGTCAGAAGGAATACCAATATATTCACGACTGCTCTTCTGATGACTTTGACGCCAGTTGAGCTGCTGTGGAATTACTGCTGACAATCAAACATTCATATGTCAACACTGGCTAAGTTTTGTGAGAGTTCCTCATTATTTGCCTCATTATTTTTACTTGTCAGTTTAGGGCCTTGACTGTTTGGACATCTGTTCTTTTAAACAATTCTCTTCCAAGTTAGGAAGGGCTCGAGTAAAATAACAATGAATTTCAGTGAACTATTCAAATATTCTTGGTTCCCAGAGGATCAGTCTTTGTGACTTTGGTGTTTCCCTGTCGTCTCCTCTAGTTCCACCAAGATATGATATTTTTGGTTTTGTGTGAAATGTGCCAAATATTTGATGGATTGTCATGAAATACAGACACGCATTCAAATATTTGAGTTCCCAAGACATTGTATTCTTACGGCTTCAGTGCTTCCTTGACTTCTTCTTTAGTGCAGGTTAAATCAGGTCAATGTTCTTATTTGTCCAACACTTTAGGTTTGCAGGTATTTGGTCATCAACCAATGACATCCCCATCAGCCTTAGCTGCACGTTGTGGTTTTAGTGCTACTTAGCAAACATTAGTGTGCTAAAGTAAGATGATTAATATGGTAAACATGTTTCCTGGTAAACATTAGCATGTCAGCTCACTGATCCTCACATTTAGCTCAAAGGTCTGGCAGAGTTGTAGACTCTTAGTGCTAATTCATACAACCAATAGTGTGTGGTCTTACGAACGAATGAACAAAAAAGTTTTGTAATAAGTTTAAACAACGAGCAATTACTCGCTTGTAAACAATCTTCACAGTACGATGCCTTTGAACACAACGCCAACCTTCTCCTGCTTCTTCTCTGTGTCCCATTACATTGCAATGGTTTTCTGCCGGTTGGCGACACCCACGTAAAGGATCATTATCGCCATCAAGTGGGCTGGAGTGTATAACACTTCAGGGTCAAACGAATGATCAAGCGGAAGTTTACACACGGGTGTGAGGCAACTGAAAAAATAGTTCCACAATCAAGATGAATACCAACAACACGGATGGAAACCACAGTTTGCTACGATTTTTATGTCAGAACATCAACGAACACCACTGACCACTCGGTGAGTTTCATGGCTTTGAAAACAAACGTTTAGGGTGGTTTTAGGACAGGACCACACATGGCCATAGGCAGCAGTGTTAAACCAGGCAGGAGAAAGCCAAATTCTCAGAAATGGAGCAATCATCAAAATTTTGTTCTTAACCAATCTATTTCATCACAAACAACCCTGAAATGGGGCTCAAAGTGCAAAATACCGGACTTCTCCTTTAATTGCATGGCATAAGTGCATTTTGGGTGTGTCAACCACTTTTGCTACAGTAGTTAAACCGCACTTAATCTAAGTGCAAAGTGAAGTTCAGGGGTTTGTATTTAGTCTCTTTATTAATTATAGGTGTGTTTTGGGCTTAACATGAATTCAACCAATCAGCGTGTCATGTCCCATTCCCTTTAAAAGCCAGGTGCACCTGCATCTGGTGTACTGCTGCTTAGATGGCAGATTTGGTAAATTGGATTAGGAAGTGGTTTCCTCCTGTTTAAGCAACAAAACTAAAAACCGTAGTGGTAAATGTGACAAAGGAAAGAGGACTAAACTTTAGATTCTAGAATAATCAGTGAAGTTACACTGCTCCCTGTGCTTGAATGTGCACAGCATCTCTCCTGATGGCGAGTTGAACAGCAGCCCTGCCGCTCTGCAGTGCTCTTTATGTTCACGTTGCAGAGAATGTAATTAATATTTTTCCTCACTGATGATGTCACCCACCTGTAACCCATCCGCGTGTCCCTGTGTGTTGTAACAAGCAGAGCAGAGGCTTTGTGAACCTGCCTGTGTGGCTGCATCTATACTGTCTAAATAATGTGCCCTTTAAATTACAGGAAAATACTCTGCCATTCAGACTGTACACCAGGCTTTTGTTGGTCGGTGGCGCAATCACTTACTGCCACCTCAGAATAGCAATGCCAACAATGCACCTGATCACACCTCATTTAAAATGGTCACATGTACATTTGCTACCTATGAAACCTGGCCGCTGGCTTTTAAAAATGACGACTGTGTCGGTCTGACAATTGCACTGTGCTGTGCGTCACTTGGTGCCGGATGTAAGATATGGCCATTAATCTTGTTTAAGGTTTGTACTTTACATTTAGCTTTGCATTGTCAGTATACATCTAGTAATCAGCATACATAAGCCTGTCTGCTTTCGTGCATCGTTTCTTTTGGGGTGTTGAAGGCTCAGGAGACAACTGGTTAAAGGTCACCTTTGCTGTCAGGTGTGTTGAGTGACAGGCAACGTCTGGTGTCAATGGCAAGGATATTAGTCATCCCTCAACACCCCAAACCCCACTCCCATTCCTCCCACCCACCTCTCAACATGTCTTTAGTGGTTATTCCCTCCATATGAAGGTCAGCAGCGTACCAGGATTGATCTTGTCAGCTTTCTCATGAATGTTTAATAGTGTGTGTGCATGTGCATGTGCTAGCATGTATGCATATACAGCCTGTGTGTGTCTATAGTTCCACATGTTTTACAAATCTGGTATTCACGCCACTTTCTTACCCTCCTACTCCAAAGGATCATTTGTTGTTGTGTCAGGAGCGTTTCTTGTCAGACAGGGTGTGTGATGGAACAAAGACCACCTTGATGATGGTGGACAGCAGGAAGGATCAGCAGGTGGTCCAATTAGTCGGCCCCGTGCTGAGAGGGAGGAGCATTGTAAGGAGTAGTGCTCAGAGTGTCTTCATGCAGAACTCTGTTATAGAAGGGAGTGATGAGCCTTCTGTAGGTCCAGGCGTTGATTACAGCTAGATGCAAGAGTGAAGTGAAATACAAATGATGATGATGTAGATGTTTGACATACTGATCACCATACAAATAAACCTAACGACAAAAAAAAAGCTATTGTAACAGTGATGTTTAATTTATTTAGTTTCCTGTAAACTTTACAGAGAAACGAACTGAACACCAGGATGGAGGAGTGCATTGAGCTTTATCCACAGGATATAAACTTTGCTGTCTAAAGAAATTAGTAGAGTTATAAAACTCCCTTTTGTTTTGGGGGGCTCTTTCTCAAGCTTGTAATCAATGCTTCTCATAAAATGTGGTTGTAATTAAATGCAACACATCATCTTACCACCCAGGGCCCTCACTGTACACCACCCACACTGCTCCTCTCTTCCCCATGATACTATCTCTCATCTGCTGGGCCCTTGCTGACATTTACAGGGACTGATATGTCAGAGCAAGAGACTGGACACAGGGGGCATACTGGAGGAAACCCTAATGTTCCTCTGGGAAACACGCTCGTGCTTTCTGGTTGCAAGATATGTGACTTTCTATGCAAATGTATTCCACATAAGCATTTCAGTTGCCTCTGTAGGTAGGGACTTGTAATGGTGTAGTGGTGTAGAGACTTAGCTTCTGTATGGTAACTGTTGACGTCTAGACAACTAGTATTGTACTAAAGTGGGAGTCAAATTAGTATTCTGCATAAACCAGTGTGTGTTAAACCTCGTGTTACTGTGTTTTATTATTCAGGAGACCCAGGAGAGGTTTCCAAAACTGGGCCAGATGGAGGCCTGGGATGAGCTGGGCAGTGGGGAAATAGAGGGCAGCACCACAGACTGCGATGATGAAGATGGATGTCAAGCCTCAGGAGACGGTCAAGACCAGACCTGTAAGTAATAATGCATGCCATCCTCCACATACCCTTACATTTACACACAAATCCCCCTTTCCTCTATTCCCTTTCCCTTTGCCAAATGCAATATTGTCGTAATACGCCTCAATCTTGTGGGAGTTTGCTTCACTTGCATGTAAGAACCATACTTTTTATTACCACTCACTGGCCACATGATGCCACCAGCAATTTTTAGCCCCTTTTACTTTGCCTGTTTAAGGTGTAAATGTCGCACCTGGTTCCACCTTGCTGTTCTGTATAAAAGGTACAATCACTGAATGGAGGGACAGAATTGTTCTCCATTTGGCAGAGGTAGTAACAGCACAGAATCAACGTCTGTTAGCAGCTAACTTAAAGCACAAGAACATCGACTGAAAACTTCCACAAATTGGGTAGACAGTGAGGTCCTGGGGAGCTCCTTACCTTCCAAGCAGAGATTGAGATCAACAGTCGTATAACTGGGACAGCTAATGATGTTGCCATGTTATGCCACTGTTATTGTTAGAAAGAGCTACCTGATGTGTTTGTAATATTACTGCAATCCACTGCAAGTTGGATGTCGATAATTCTGACTCGGTCTTCCCAACTTACGACTAAATATGTCCCAGTGCATCTTCTTGGGAAAACGTGGACACCTGCAGCAGACTGATGTTTGTAGGTCAGATCTGTGAGCTTCATAAGCATCTACAGTGAACTTAAATCGATTACCACAGCACCATTAGCAAAGAAAACAGAGTTTAAAATAAGTCAACTGTCTCGCTCGTCTTTGCACATTAATAAAATAATGTACAACTGCTTGAAATTGTATAAACATGTGCTGAGCATAGTAGTGTGAGCCACCCCAGCCAGTAGCATAAAGTTGTTGTGTGCGTTTGTTTCGCCGTCGAAGGAGACAGACAGAGATACACGCGCTTGCAAAAACTTCTATCAAGCACAAATCCACTTAATGGAAATGGCAGCTACAGTGTTGTTACAGCACGTTTCACAACAAAAACACTACATAAAATATTATATATGAAGAAAATGTCATTGTGCTCGGTTCACTGTGTGCCCCACCATGTTGCTAAGTGGTGTGTATGTATCTTGCAATGGCTGTTCCATTGCATTTTTCTGTGGTGGAGGTAGTTTTTTCCAAGTTCAGATTACAATGGATTGCAGCACTTGTCATACTAGAGGCTGGTGCTGTTGTTTCACAGGTCACGCCTCTTTTGCTTCCATAACACCAGCATGCTGTTGATTCACACACCGAGGCAATATTATGCCTGCATTGTTTGCTTCTGTATAAAAAGCCTGAGTAATGAAAGGTCTTCGTTGCAGCACTATCGTGGGATCTCTTTGTAAAAAGGGCTTTTGTGATGATTTACAATATCTCTTGTGTTCTACCCTCAATCACCTGATTTTGTGCAGTATACAGTATAACCAAGGACAGACCTGCCTCTCAACACAGAGTCCTTTCTCTCTTTTCTCTTGCTCATTGAGCCTTGACTTGTTTTCAGATGATTGCCACAAAGTCACTCTTTCATTCACCTCCTACATGGCAAGGGAAATTCACTTTAAAACACATTTTCACACTCTGCCATCCTCGCCTACTGTGTCTCCTCGAGGCTACAGCAAAGGTGGTGGCACAGGAGGATCCTCCGAGCCTTAGACAATGAGCCAGTTTGCTTCAGTGGGCACACACACACAAACACACACACACACCAGGCAGTGAGGAGGTGTTGGTGCTTGTGTTGGCTTTGATGAGAATCATTTGATCTTCTGCAGTAGCTTCTTGTTAATCATCCCTAATTATCATGTTATTTTTCCACCTACACAGTCAAACAATGGAGTTGGGTGTGAAGCATTGTCTTACTAGCATGGAGTGCGTAGAAAGGAACATGGAGCACCAAATAATGCACTAAACCGTCCCTTCAGCACCAGCAGGTGCCAAGTTTGATATAACAGTCAAGATTTTTTTTGGCTGGTGAATAGGCCTTCAGGAGACTGTACACAGAGACATCTAAGCTAGCAGACAGGCAAACACAATGAAGACAGGCCCAGTGATAAGATCCTCCCTGGAGTAAACGGAGCCTCTTTGGCTTCCCTACTTCTTCTGCAAGACTGCAGAAAAGCCAGATGCTGATTCAGAAGTGTTTTCATGTGTAACATGTTTACTCAGTCCAACAAGATGCTCACAAGCCCATTTTGCATGGAGAGCTAACTACATACATGAACAAGTACCTTATGATGAATACACAATACAATGGGCCCAGATATTAAAAGGGTTACTTTGCCAATTTTCAACCAGTCCCCTATCAAACAGTGTGGGCAGTATGTGCAAAAGAACTGTGGCAAAACTTCCCTCCATCTTACCAGCACCCAGATCTCCCTGTTCATCTCTCAGCTCAAATCAGTTCGCTGGCTGTGGTGCTGTTTCTTGACAAACCAAGCTCAGATCAAACAGTAAAACTAAGTAGGACTGATCAAATAAAAAACAAAATTCTGTTACTGTAGTGCTTATTTCTCGCCTGAAATGTTTCTGTAAACATATTTTAGTGCACTGTTTGACTGTTTGTTACCTGTTGGCCACCATATTGTTTCATACGTCAAAACAGTTAAGTTCACATTATGTTACCACCCAGCTGGCGCATTTATTGGTCTGGTGCAGTGCAGTGCATTTTGGTAGTTTTCTACCTTTCAAGCAGAAGCGAATGTCACAGCCCTTTTCCTCTATTTTCTCTCATCATATAGCACCAATTTCAAAGGTATCTGTGACTTGCTACTGCACAGACAGCCCAGTTTTATGAAAAGACCCATCTTTCCAGCAGAAAAATACTTCTTTCAGAACATGTATTCACAACAACCTCATTTCAAATTTGACTAAGGACCTTTGTTACACGTCGTCTCTTCTTTCCCCTTCACCTCTCCACTTTCTGTTATCAAAAAAAAATGAAAAATTCCCCAAAATGTCTTTGAAAAGGATTCAAAAGACATTCAGCAGTCTCCTCACAACCATCCAACAAATCATTTTTCTCCTCTGAGTTGCTTGGGTCACAGCATCGTTTATTATTGCCACATAATTTATAATTTAAATGGCATTCTATCTTTTGGGTCACTCTTTACCGACTCACCTTAGGCCTCCTAGGTTGTGTCATGGATTTTCTGGGGGGAAAAAAAATCATGTGAAAACCTCTATTAAATTCATTGGATCTTGCAAAATCCTATAGCTCTACTTAAACACTTTTTTAGTCATAAATTCTTGAAGTTTGGCCCTCTGAGCTATATGTAGTCATTTTAGCGATTGCATTCTAAGCCTCACCAATTATTTTTCACTGGATTGGGATGAAATTTGTACTGAAAATCCGAGACACCCTTAGGATAATTTGCAACATCTACTCTGACTGTGCTTTTATCAGCACATCTTAAAACTACTGGTCTAGTTTTACCAAAGGGTGGCGAGAAGGCTATCCACACCACAATGCAACTAATACACCAATCAATAGCCATTACATTCCTAGTTACACACAGTTCTGAACAGGTCCTCTCTTCCCTGCTCCTTGTTGTGATGTGGATAAAACATGCCAGCCTTTCTTAGAGCTCTGACAGCAGCAGCAGTATCCCAACAGCAGGGGATAATCAATCAAACCACTGTCTGAGATTTTCAGAACAAAACCCATTAGTCTGTGCTTAAAGTATAAATCCATATCCTGGTGAGTCCTGTTGCCTGTGCAACTGTCTTTAAGCCTTCTAAAGAATATTTGTCATCCAGTAACAAAATCATTTTTTTAGGAAGGTGTGACTGGCCTATTGGTATCTATAAAGACAAATTACAGCATGGGGCCTAGTATCAGACAACACTGACTGTAGACAGTCATCCGCTTCTCTGAGGACTGATCCCAAGACTTGTGCTGTGACACATGTACAGTTCAGTTTTGGCGCATCATTCATTTCAACCAGCCAAACCTTGCTTTTTGAACTCAGTTGTGGGTATGCTCTGCTATTTGGCAATTTCCAAAGCTTTCAGGTTGAAAAAAGGCTATGGTAATCATTCTTCAGTTCCATTTTTCAGTAAGGTGCTGCACTCCCCTGTGAAGCCCTTTGAAGTAACCAGTTTGAGGTGTACGGTTTTCTCTGACTGTTAGAATTTTTAAACTTTTGAAAGTTGGCATCTCAATGCAGTATTGACCTAATGGGGCTTACAGTATGTTACAGGGGAAGTTGGCTTAAAAAAAACAAACTAATTTTCTGTGTGTCATTCTCCTATGACTTCATGAATATTGATTAAACTGTTATTGATTACCCAATAGGGCTTGGAATTGGTACTCGATACCTTTAAGGCATTGACCAAAGTTTACAATCAAGCAATACCTTAATTCAATCCTTCTTGTGCCAGAGGTCTAATCCAAGACTTTACCAAATCCCTATTAGGTAACTTTCTGTTGCTGCCGTTGCTGGAGCCGCTCTCCTCCTGTTTGATGGTCAGTTTAATGTCTGGCTGGTAGGGTTGCGGTGGTATGAGAATTTCATGATGCAACTAGCTAAATATCGCAGTTTCATGGTCTGCATTATTACACAGTTATTATTATTACTATTAATAGTAGTAGTAGTAGTAGTAGTAGTAGTAGTAGTACCAGTAGTATCAGTAGTAGAAGTAGTAGTAGTTGTAGCAGTAGTAGTAGTAGAAGTAGAAGTAGCAGTATTGGTGACAATGACCCTTAAAAGAATTAGAACAAGGGTTTTTTTACTCCATTTTAATTGACACTTGAAACTTATTTTTTCAGTGGATGTATGTGTACATAGTCTTTTTCAATATCGTGGATAAGCAGATGCACATGGTATTATACCCGTCAGTTTTCATACCATGGTATATAGTTTTACAGTATACTGCTGCAACCCTATTTTCAGGTTGCAAAGATCTAACACCGCAGCGGCTAACGTCAGACACCAAGCTGTTAAATTGTCCCAACAAACTTCACTGACACAGAAATGGCCCGACTCTGTCATAAAACCCATTAATA